CTAGACTGAAGAACAAAACAGCAGCAACTTCTCTGTTCCCCTTCCCCCAATTCCCCAGCACTGTTCCCATCCCCCCAATACCCCAATAAAAATCTTAAAAAAAAAAGAAGTACAAATTGCTTGTTACAAAGCAGTAATGGGGATATAGGGTATAGCATAGGGAATATAGTCAATAATATTGTAATAACCATGTATGGTGTCATTGGTACTAGATTTGGGGGGTGATAGATGGAAAGGGGTTGGGAGGCAGGGTATAAAGGTGAAAGGATTAAGAAGTACAAATTGGTAGCTACAAAATAGTCATGGGGATGTAAAGTAAAGCACAGAGAATATAGTCAATGATAGGGTAATAACTACGTATAGTGCCAGGTGGGTACTAGACTACTCAGGGGGATCACTTCTTAAATCATATAAATGTCTAAACACTATGCTGTAATCTGAAATTAATATACAATAATACTGAATGTCAACTGTAATTGAAAATTTTTAAAGAGTGGGAAAGGTGAAGGGGAATAAGAGGTCCAAATATCTAGGTATAAAGCAAATAAGTCATGGGGATGTAATGTACAGCATAGGGAATATAGTTAATAATATTGTCATAGTGTGGTACGGAGTCAGATGGTTGCTGGACTTATCATGGTGATCACTTCTTTAGGTATACAAATGTTGAACAATTATGATGTATACCTGACACTAATATAATATTGTGTTAGCTATATTTTAATAAATATCTTTTAGAAAATAAAATAAAATTCAAATGACTTAGCATGATCCAAAAAGCCCCCAGTGACCAGACTCAACCACATTTTTAAGCCTCATCTCACATCAGTCTCCATTTCTAGCTTCCCCACCACAGGGCCTTTGCATGTGCTGGTCTCTTTGCCTATGCTCTGCCTGGCCAGCCCCTACCCATTCTTCAGGCCTTGGTTAAATGTCAGTTCCTCCAAGAATGCTCCCCTGACTACCCAAAGCTTCCTGTGCTCCTTTGTGATACTTACCACCATTATAATTGCTCAGTTATTTGTGTGATTAGCTCTTCAGCGATCATCTCCTCCTCCACACTGTGAGTTCCAGGAGGACAAACCTACAGGTAGGAGCAGGCTCCCAGGTGCTAAAGAAGACACTCATTTGATACTCTCATTCCTATGGTCAGCAGAATAATGGCTCCACCAAAGTTGACCATGTACTAATCCCTGGACCACATGAATATATTATGCTACACAGAAAGGGGGAATTAAAGTTGCAGATAGAATTAAGATTGTTAGTCAGGGCCGGCCGAGTGGCGCGATGGTTAAGAACTCGCTTGGGA